CGCAACCTCAGCGAGTTCTTCCGGCGCAAGCTGAAGCCACAGGCCCGGCCGGTCTGTGGCCTGCACAGTGTGGTGAGGCCCACCTCTGACATCTGCAGTTTCGCCTGTGTGTGTGTGAGCCCAGCCCAGCAGCCCCCACTGCCGCCCTCCCTCCCCACTCAAGTCCGGGTGCGCACTGTGTCCGGCACGTCCAGGGAGGGGAGGCTCTGAGTGCTTGGCAGATGAGGCGTGGGTCACCTGGAGGGAGGACCTCTTGCCTTGATGCCAAGCCCCTTCTGGCCCTTCCAGATCAGCCCGTCGGATGGGAAGATCCTCAACTTTGGGCAGGTGAAGAACTGTGAGGTCGAGCAAGTGAAGGGGGTCACCTACTCGCTGGAGTCATTCCTGGGCCCTCGCACCCACACAGAGGACCTACCCTTCCCGCCAGGTCGGTCACTGCACTACCACCGAAGGGTGAAGGAGGAAGAAGACTGGGAGGCTGTGGGAGGGTGGCAGGCTGGCACGCGGAAGCCTGGGGACGTTGCTCGGGCTGTCCAGGCTCCATGCTGACGCTGACTGCGTCACACGGGTTGCACAGCACTCAGAGCCCCTCCGAGCTCAGCTCTTTTCTGCTCTACCCCACAGCGTCCTCGTGTGACTCCTTCAGGAACCAGCTGGTCACCCGGGAAGGAAATGAGCTCTACCACTGCGTCATCTACCTGGCCCCCGGGGACTACCACTGCTTCCACTCCCCCACTGACTGGACTGTCTCCCACCGGCGCCACTTCCCCGGTAGGCCCAGGGCTGGCCTATGGATGGGAGCTGCCGCCGTGGGCTTCAGAGGCCTCGGCGTCTGAATGGCAGGGAACCAGGCTCCAGGCTGGGGTGGTTACGGCCAGTAGTCGACAGATTTAGGCTGGCCGGGGCTGGGGAGCTCCGTATTTGGACTGACACTGGGGCCATGAGCCCCTGTGGGTTTTGGGCCATGACTCTGGACAGCAAGTGGCGCGTTTCTCGTCCCCATAGGCTCCTTGATGTCAGTGAACCCTGGGATGGCCCGCTGGATCAAAGAGCTCTTCTGCCACAACGAACGGGTAGTTCTGACAGGGGACTGGAAACATGGCTTCTTCTCATTAACAGCTGTGGGGGCCACCAACGTGGGCTCTATTCGTATCTACTTCGACCGGGTAAGCAGAACCCAGGCTGTGCTAAAGCCCTGGGACTCCCATCTGCTGTGCAGCTGATCTGTAGCACTGATCTGTAAGTTCTAGGAGGGTCTCTGTCCTGGCACATCCTGCCAGCTGAGGCATCCCATCTATCTGGAGGTAGCTGAGAATTAACCTCCCTGCTTGGAATCTTGCCTCTGCCAGAAGCTATGGTCAGAAGAGTAAGGAGGGACCAGGAGTACAGAGCATGGGGTGGGTCATGCAGGTGAGGCCAGAGTGCGTGAGCAGGGTTCCCACCTGCCTGAAGCTGGCCTGTACACGGCGAGAGTCTGGTGCCTTTTGGGGTCGTTCTGGGACTGCCTGCTTCTGGCTGCTGCGGATGCTGGCCTTACACCCTTTGTGCATCAGTTGCCTCTGATTTCTCTTCCTCAGATGCTGTCCCCACCACCCATTCTGAGCTGCTTGAGGGGGTACTGGGGGCAAGCGGTAGGACTCCAAATGCAGGTGGGGCCGGCCCAGCCTAAGCCCCTTCTAACTCCTACCCATTCCTCACCCCCAGGACCTGCACACCAACAGTCCGAGGTATAGCAAGGGCTCCTACAATGACTTCAGCTTTGTGACACACAGCAACAAGGACGGCATCCCCATGCGGAAGGGAGAGCACCTGGGCGAGTTCAACCTGGGCTCCACCATTGTGCTCATTTTTGAGGCCCCCAAGGACTTCAATTTCAGGCTGAAAGCGGGGCAGAAGATCCGCTTTGGGGAGGCGCTAGGCTCCCTCTAGGGCTGATTCCTGGGTGTGGCTGCCGAGGGAATCTTTCTACACAGGAGCATGAGGGTCTTTTAGAGAGGCCCCGAGGGTGTCCAGGTGAGCACCACAGAGCCGTGGGGCTTCCACTTTGTAGGACCTGGATGATTTGCTCCTGCCTGTCCCAGAGGTGCAGACAAGAGGTTCTGGGTCCTTTTCACAAGGTGGCCAGAGCCCATATGCTCTAGGCTGCCCTACAAACCATGTCAGTGGGGATGATCTGGGGCACTGTGGACTTCTTTTTAACGTTGTGTAAACTGGAGACCCCCCATCTGGCTGAGGGTCCGTCCAGCTGGTCTCGGATGGTTGAAGATGAAGCGCTAAACATGCCCTGTAGCTGCTCCTCCTGTCACGGGGCAGTTTTCTTTCAGCCCCGTGTGCTTTTTCTGGCCTTGCCCCTTGGCCTCCCATAGTAAGGCACCTCCCTGGTAAGGACTGGACCCACCCTCCCCCCAGAGCACAAGGCCTTATGACAGCTGCCTTCTGTTCCCGTACTTGCCTCACCCTGCTTGTTGGAAAAGCAGAATCTTTCTTCTTCGTTTTGTTGGCTGCATGCATTGCCTTGGACTTTGCCAGTGTTTTCTGAGGATGGTGACGAATGACGCGGACCTTCACAGACCCTGAGGAGTGACCTCCCAGAGCCGGCCGAGTCCTCTCTGCAGCAGGCAGAACCACTTACTGCCCCGCTTGGAGGTGGCCGAGGCCTAGCTCAGGACCAGGGTGGGCGGTGGTGGTCCCTCTCCAGGTCCGGCCCTACAAGAAGTGGGGGCGGTTGCTACTCTGTTGGTGGTGGGTCAGTGCCTAGAAAACCTGTCCCAGGTGACAGGTATGCAGGCCACGGGAGCCTACTGCTAGGCCCAAGGCGAGGTTTTGTGGTGACCCTGGGAACGCTGTGAATTTCTCCTGCAGGAGAAGTCATTGAACTTTTTCAACTGTATCAGTAGCACAGTATTTTTGTATGAAAAGTGGGAGATTTCTGAACAGTAATTCATTTAATTGCAAGGCATTTTGAAATAATAAAAACTCACAAAACTCAGGGTAGCATCGCTTTATGTTACCGGAGGTGGCCCGAGCCTACCCTGCTCGGGAACACTGTCTCCCTGGGGTGAGCCCCTCAGCACAGAGCGCCCCGCAGGGCCCGGATGCGTGCTATGCAGGCATGGACGGGCTGGCGCTGGGCCTGGAGCTCCGTGGCCAGCTGCTCGATCTGCAGTTCCACCTGGGGGGAGGGAGGGACGGGCTGAATGGGGAGGATGCACAGCCCCGGGAACCGTCCTCCCGGGGTAGCTTGGGGTCTCACCTCCTCCAGCTCTTTCTGCATCTGCCGCTCTGCATCCCGGTCTTCAGCCCTGGGCTCCTCCTGGCTCAGCTCCAGCCACTTCCGTAAGCTGCTTGCTTGTCGCCGGCAGGACCTGAGGGTGCGGACACCTGTTGCCTGCCAGGCTAGGTTCTTGGCAGAGCCTTAGGGCAGTCTCTCTGGCTCAGGGAGAGGCAGAGCAGCTAATTTTCACATGGGGATGGGGTGAAGAAAGGTCCGGAAGGCCCCCTGCCCTGCAATGTAGGACCTGGCTTGGGAGGCCAACGGTTAACTCCCAGCCTCTCCATCCTCACCAGTAAGTAGGTGAAATCACCCGTCCTCTCTTGGCAGAGCTGGGGATGAGGGGACCAGTCTTTGCCCCGAATCTGCTACATGTTGATGGTTCTGACTGCTGGGTACCGCTAGGGAATAGGACTGTCCTCGTATTACCGTCACAGTCACTGGGTAGATGAGAGGACCCAACCCCCCATCCAAGGTAGGGCCCCCCAGTCCCAGGGGAAGCCACTGGATCTTCCTAATAAGCAGGACTAGGAGGGTAAAGGTGCCACGGTGGAGAGGGGACGCTCCACACAGCACACTGCACCCCTCACTCCCACCACAGGTGAGCCTCGCCCAGGGAAACAGAGCCTCCCGCCTTCTTAGGCCACATCTGCTCCTGTGCACAGGCCAGCGGGTGTCCTGAGCCTCACCAGAGGTTCTGCCTGGTGGTCTGGTAGTGCTGTAATTGCTGCTGGATCCCCTCCAGCTCAGCCTCCAGGTCCATGTGGCCTGTGGTATGACCATCTTCCCCTCTGGAACCAGGATGAGTCTCAAGTCCAAGATGCAGGACTGGGCTGAGTGCTGCCTTTTGAGGTCCCAAGTACTTAACTGCAGCGTCACAGCCAAGATCAGGCCTGGCCCTCGTTCCTGTGAAGTCCTCAGGCAGGAGCAGAGGAGGGTCAGGGCCACAGGTCAGAGCTGGGGGGGCCTTGGGTTTAGGCCCCAGGGTGGTGGGTTGTGCTGACATCTGTAAGGGAAGGAGAGGTGGATGCTCACAGGGAAGACAGGACGGCTGAGGAGAAGGCACCTGAGAAGTCCCTGTGCCTGTCTTACTGCCTGTTGCCCACTGTGCCCTGCAGGGGGTGAGTGAGCCCCCAGCTGCAGGAGCAGGAAATCCCAGGCCCTGCCCTGCCCTAACCAGCTCACCCAGTACCTGGCACCACTGGTAAAATGCCACAGGCAACCTCTACAGCCCCACCCTGTGCCGGGGCCGAGTTAGCACTGTCCCAGCAGCTGTGTCAAGTCCGTCGGCCTCACAACTCCGCGTGGTCTTGTGAGCTTGGTTAGCAGTGAGAACAGTGGGCAGAAGCAGTTGTTCCTCCTGTCCCACCAACACCTGCAGCCCTCCTGCACGCCCTCCCATGCCCCCTCTTCTGCGGGGTGGACTTGCCCCTTCTGTGACCACTCCACCCTTGTCACACCCAGTAGCAAGGAAAAGAAAAACAACCTCCTGACCCTACAGCTCATTCCGGCCGGGTGGTGGTGGCCCTCCACGGCCACACTCCGGGAGCAGCTGGCTCCTTGTCCTCACGCCAGCCACTCCCTTCAGGTGCCATTTTCTTGGGTGGCCTCAGCCCCTGGCCACCCCTGCCTGACAGGGTCCCTCTGCATTAGCCTCTCTGTTGTCCCTCAGCAGCTCTCTGGGGTTCACCAACCATGCTGAGGACTCCAGCCCTGAACTCCTCTGAAGGCCAGACTCGGTGCTGTTGTTTTTTTTCAAATCTGACAGGGTCAAAAGGGATGTTCAGTGTTTCACTACGCCAAACCAGGCCTTACCCATAATCCCTTTTTCAGTAAAAACTCATCTCTCCCGGGTTACTCAAGGCCAGGGTCCTAAGCATCATCCTGGAGTCCTTTTTCCATGCTCATGTCTGCCTCCAAGAGGATCTGTCCAACTCAGAGCGACTGGCTGCAGTGTCGAGGCTACTACACTGTGTGACTCACAGCTGCCCAGCCACCCGGCCCTGGCACTGTTAAGAGACCGGGTGGGTGCTGCTGCTAGAGACCTTCATCAGCCTCCTCTTTCCATTCCACACTTTCCACCGTGGCCTGCCTGACCCACTCCGTGGGTTTGCACGCCTCTTGGCTGTCCTGCCAAGGACAAGCTTCTTGGTGCCCTTCAGACCTGGCGTGCAGAGGCACCTACACTTACTGAGTGAATGAGGCCTCCTGTGTCTTCCCATGCCAGGGTGTTCCAGAAACACTGGGCAGAGCAAGGGCAGATCAGAGGATGGAAGCTGCGGACTGGCCTGGGGGTGGAGGACTTACCCAGGCTGCTGCTGCTGCTCCTGCCCTGAGAGTCGTGAAGGAGGAAGGGGGCAGTAGTTCTGGGCCTTGGCCTGTCACAGAGGGTAGCTTTAGGCCAGGAGCATTGGGCAGGGCCCCAGTCAGGAAGGATCTGGTCAGAGAAGAGCCTGCTTGGCCCTGTTCCTGAGGCTTCTCTGGCCTGCAAGGGAAGGCAAGAGGACAGAGAAGCTGCGGAACCTTTCTCTGCAACTGAAGATCAGAAAGCAAAGATGGCCATCAAAATACAAGCCCCCAGGTGGAGGTGCCATGTCTGGGAACCATGACCACATAACCTACCCACGCCCTGTGAGGGTGCCACACCCCGGAGACCTCTGGCTTGGCGTGGGCTCTAGCAGAAAATGTGGGCATCGTGGCTGCTTCCTTGCCGAGCGGGCACTGCTGGGAAGAAACACAGGGTCTATTCCTCTGGTTGAGGGGGTGCCGGGGGCCTGAGACCTCTGTGGGGTCCAACCCTTCCAGTCTGATAGAAAGGCCAAAGGCCAGACAAGGCATGGCTCCTGTTCCAGGTCAAGTACGTAGGGTGGACCTGGACCTAGCGAACTTCAGGAATCCCAGCGAAGGCTGCCCGATACGGGTGCCTCACCCATGGGTACTTTGACCCTGGGACATGGGTGTCCCTAACATGTCACAGGAGACGGGCTCTGAGACGTTCAGGCTCCTGCCAAGGCCATGGAAGGGACAACACAGCAGAGTCAAGGGCCGAGGCCTGGTCAGGCCTGAGGCTCTGGCAGCAGTGGTTATTCCAGGAGTCATCAACTGCCTTGACAAGGGGGACGTGAAGGGTTTGGGGACACCATCCAGGGAGGTGGCAGAAGCAGGTGCTGGGTCTCAAAAGATGGGGTCTTTGACAGTATTTTGGCTGTAAAAAAAAAAAAAGTGAGACGGGTGGGCCTGGAGTCCCTGCCCAACATCCTGCTTGTGTCACAGGACAGGAGGGGCAGGAAGGTGTTGAGAGAAAGGGACACCCATTTCCTCAGGAATTCCATTCTCCCCTCCACGCTGGGTGGGATGAGACCCATCCAGAGGACTCCCAAGCAACTTCACTGGCCCTCCTCACCTCCTCACAGGGCCCAGCTTCCCCGCACCTGTGCTCTCACAGCTTCTGTCCCGGAGAGCACTAGAGGAAGACACACACACAGCACAGGTCACTCACAGCTCCAGAAGCTGGGGCTCCCCAGCAGCCAGCGCCAGGCTGCCCAGGGCTGCCCGAGGCTGCCGAGCTTGCGGCCTCCTGGTTTCCAAGGTGGCATCCCCAGCTCCAGCAGCAACAAGGTCAAGAAGGGGACCATCAAACGTCACTCTCCTGCTGGGTGCAAAGGGTGCTAGGGGCTGAGACTCCCTGCCTGGGCCCAGCACCTTCTGTTTCCAGAGCTCGGCACAGCGTTGGACGGCACGGTGGAGACGTTCGGCTGCCTGCAACGTAGCTTCTGTCAGCTCTTGCGCTGCCCTGCCCGGCCCACTGCTCACAAGGAGGGGACTGGGCCTACCTGGACCTGCTGCCGGGCCTGAAGCTGCTGCCGGAAGGCCTTCACGTTGGCTGTGAAGCGCAGGAGCCGGGTGGCGCCCTCCTGGAGGAGCTGCTGCTGGTAGGCCTGTACCGCCTGCTCCAGCCGCACCTTCTTCCTCCTCCTCTCCAGCACGAAGCCCAGCCATGCAGCCCAAGCCTCCAGGGAGGGCAGCAGGTGAGGCTCAGCTGTCCTGCTCAGCCTCCCCCAGGGACCTGCCGACCCACCCCCACTGAGCAGATAATCCCCTCCCACAGCCCCGCCCCGAGAGCAGCAGCAGGTTATGAAGTCCCCCTTACCTTTGCCTGTAGAGAGAAAGCCCAGAACCACAGGGCCCGGGCTGTGCACTGCTGCTCCTGCCTCTTGGCCACTAGCTGCAGCCGGAAAGACTGGATTACTCAGGAGGCCACCGAGGCTTCGTGGCCCTGCCCAGCTCATCACTCGCTAGCGGAGGCTTCCCTCCTCCCACCGGAAGGACCCAGCCCCAGGCCTGGCCAGGAGATTCCCACTACAATCATGATTTGTGGATCAGAGTGCGATTAGGAAGGGAGGAAAGCAAGAGGAGCAGCAAGCGGGGACAGTAGGCTGAGCTCACGGAAGAGCGCTGCAGGGAGCTCAGCAGACCTGGGATGGCCCTCTAGCAAGCACAGCAAGAAGGACCATGTGCTGGCTGTGCAGAATGTGTGAGACCCCTTCCGGCTGTTTTTGTTTTGTTGTTGAGACGAGGTCTCACTATATAGTTCAAGTTGGCCTTGAACTCACTATGTAGCCCAGGCTGGCGGGAAACTCGGTGATCCTCCTGCCTCAGCCTCCCGAGAGCTGGGATTACAGACGCGCTCCACCCTGACCAGTGCCTTCTGGCTTTTCATTAAGACCTCAGTGGCCTTGAAGGGACCAGCCTTCTACAGATTGCAGGTAGGAGAAAGCTGATGGTGGGAAGTGACTGGAGAGGTAGGGAGGTGGAGGGAGTCCGCTGACAAAGGGCAATTAAAGGACGAACTGCGGCGTGGGCCGAGTTTACCCACAGCCAGGGCTCTGAGCCAGGGCAAGGAGAGGGCGTCTGTGTCACACAGCTCCCACCTGTCGTCTCCACCGCTGGAAGCAGGCCCAGCTGAGTCTCCGCGCCAGGAGTCGGGTGCCCTGCGTCTGCAGGATCTGGGGAGGGAGCCAAGCACATAAGGAGTCAGGCCGCCTGGAGCAGCTCCAGGGTGAGGCTTCCAGCCCAAAGGAGCTGCCCTCCCCTGGCCAGATGTCATCTCGGATGGTGCACTGGAAGAGGGAGTCACACAGCTCTGCAGATGTCCCCAGCTGCAACAAACCAGGGGTCAAGATCAACTAGGATTTTGCACCAAGCCACCTCACCCTGGGGGCGTCGAGTCTGAGGCTGGCCGACCCCAGCCTCCATCAAACTGGAAAGACTCCAGGAAGCTCGTTTCCACGGGACCCCAGACTACCCAGCACCCATGCCATCTGCCTTGGGTTTTATTCGGAAAGATGCTCCCCTGGCCTGGACAGCCCCGGCCACACGGGAAGAGGCTGGAGAGCAGCTGCCACCTGCCTCACCCTTTTCCTGACACACCCCAGATGGTGCGTCTTCCACTGTGCCATTGCCGCCCGCAGCAGGTGCCGGTGGTGATGCCAGGCTGCCCCCTCCAGCAGGGCTTTCTGCTGGGCAGCCCTCTGGCTACAGTCCCGCCAGCGCCGAAACCAGGTGCGGAGACAGCCTATAGCAGAGGAGATGCAAGCCAGGGTTTGTCCTTTCACAGGACTTTCACAAGCAGCAATGTCCAGCCCTCCTGTGAGTGAACTCGCCACACATGGAGCGTGGCGACGTCAGGATGCCACCTTCAGTGAGTACGTGAACCCGAGGACTGGAACCAGTCTGCTGTTTACTGCCGTGCCCTGAGGACCCTCCCAGAACCACAAGCCTGCCCACAAGGGTGCCAGGCCACAGAGCCATGCACAAGGTGTGATCAGGCACCTTCCCGATGGAGCTAAAGCTTGAAGAGAAGACAGCTTCGTTTTAACGAGGAGGAGATCAAGGTACAGTCAGAGAAGTCAAGCCAGTCCATGCCACGACCTCACGGTGCTTTGCCAGCCATGCCCTGACTACTCAGGTAGGGGCCTGACTTCTGCGGATGGATAGGGCCGCACTCTGCATATCGTTTCTGTGTCACCAGATTCCCCTGTGGTAAATTTTTCTTGGTCCCTGAAAGGTTTCAAGACAACACAGAGGGATGGGACTGGGGCGGTGCCTAGACGGGGAGCCCTCCGGGATCGCTGGAGGCCTAATGTCTGTACTGAGTGCTGTACTTCTCGGGTGCTGCTTCAAGAGCCTGCCTGTATAGAGGCTGGGGATTTAGCTCAGTGGCACTGTGCCTGCCTCACAAGCGCAAGGTCCTGAGTTCAATCCCCAGTTCAAGAAAAAAAAAAAAGAGTCTGCCTGTCTATATATGTATCACTGGATCTTCTTGAGTGACAACCTTGAAAGGCAGGTACTACATCCCCATTTCACAGATGAAGAAACTGAGACGCAGAGGAGGGATAACTTGCCTGAAGTCTAACAGCCAGATTATCCAGCACTACCATGACTGCTGTTTAGAGATGAGTTCTTCCATCTTGAAGAACTCCCCCAGCACCCAAATATGACTGAGATGGAGACCTCAGCATGAGCCAAGAAACCGGCCCACAGGTAAGTACTGTGGACCTACCGCGCACAACGTCTCGCTGACCAGCCTCCCGAGCCCCTTGTGCCACCTATAAGGAGCGTGGTGGTCCCAAGGCCTGCCCCGAGTCACTGCCTACTTTCACCTCTCTCAAGGGAAGTCCTTCAGAGAAAGCAGCTTCAGGCGGCATCTGGAACCGGTCCCCTCTAACTTCCCACCGTGGCCAGCTGTGGGCGTCTTTCCAGTGGGCAGCCCACCAAACTGTACTAGGTGCAACAGCTCTTTTCCGACAGAACCAAGGATGGGATAAACCCCTGCTTTCTTGGGAAAGAATTAGAAACATAATGCTGGGATCACAACCCAAACAACACAAATAGACTTCTGTTCTGTAGCAAACTCAGTTATTAAGATAAATCAACAACTTGACTAGAGCTGGGCATGGGGGCGAACGCCTGTAATCCTAGCACGCAGGAGGCTGAGGCAGGAGGATTGAGTTCAAGGCCAGCTTGAGCTACACAGTGAGTTCAAGGCCAGGCTTAACTACATTGGTGAGACCCCGTATCAAAAGAAACAAGCAAACAAATTCAGCATTATTTCATTAACTATGAGCTGCACCTTTCAGAGTACTGGATTTTCCCACTGTGGGCTCCCTAACCACATTAGGAGAGAAATCTCCACGTATGTCTCGCACACAGAGGCACCGACTCCTGCCCTGGACTCTTTCCGAGGATGTTTATACAGCGGGCCGTGGGATTTGCTCATGGCTGGCTCGGAGTGGGTCGGGTAAGCAAGTAACTAGTTCCTGACACCCAAGAGGCCAACTACACATAAGACGCAGAAGGGTCCGCACACCACGGGGGCCGACTTGCTAAGTAGCTGCAGGAGGGACTTTCCCTTGGAACAACGCCCTGCCTGGCCACCTAGAACTTAGTCCGTTCCAGCTTCATTTCCCTGTAGCTCTTGGGCCGTGACCTTTCATTTCAACATAAACTGCTCGAGAATTAGCTGGAAGCGGAACCTTACGATGCACCGAATTGAACAGGGTCCCCTCCACACACACCGCGACATTCATGTCCTCCCTGGAATCCTGACAGTGTGAGCTAACCCGGAAATAGGGTCGGTGCAGATGTAAGGCGTTAAGGCGGCGTCACACCAGGGTAAGGTGGATCTTAAATCTAACGTGCCTCGTGTCCTTAGAAGAAAAGACGCGGACAGACAGAAAGGGACATCCCACGGGGAGGTGGCTTAGGCCGCAGGGATGCGTCTACATACCACGGACAGAAGCAGGAGGGAGCTCGGCCCCGCCGACACCTTGGCTTTGGAGATCTAGTCCCCAGCACTGTGACAGTGATTTCTTGTTGTCTGAACCCTTCCAGTCATGGCAGCCCCAGGAGGCAGACTGCGGGGGGCAGAGGGGCCGCCAGGACTCTTCTGTAACCTTCACATCCCTCTCCGGACCGCCTGCTGCCCTGGGTCCCACTTACCCCTCGCCAGCACCTTCCGGGCCTCCCTGAGCGCACAGGCCTCCCGCTGTCGGTAATGTATCTGCACCGAGGCCACCTCCCGCCACTGGACCAGGACCTACGGGCAGGCGAAGGAGAGAGAGGTGATCCTGACGTCCCAGGTCAGCGGTGCCGAGCCTGCGGCACGAGTGCTGCTTCATTAAAGCCCCGACAGGTTCACCATCGCTCTCCGAGGTCCTAGGCTCTTCCTGAAGTGAGGATGAGTGGGTGAAGTCTGGGGGTCACACTTGTTCCAGGAAGCACTCGCCATCCCAACAGCCATCTAACAAACCTAGGGACAGAGTCTGGCCCCGCCAGGAAGGCGCTGAGGCACTGGGGCTTTGCAATCAGAAGGATTCTGACAGAGTGTCTATGCCACGCGTACCACAGAGAAGTTGTTACACGGGCTTTAATTTTGAACATAGACGTCACATGCATTTACCATGGTTTGGATCTAAAATGCCTTCTGAAAGACTCATGTGTTCAGAAACGGGCTCTAACTTCAGTGGATTAATCCATTATGGATTCACAATCTGATGGCACTGTTAGGAGGCAGTGAACTTTAGGAGGTGCAGCCTGGGCTGTATAGTGAGACCCTGACTCCAAAAGAGAAACATCCCCAAGGTCACACATGGCGCCACCATGCCCGGCTTTGGGGATTATATTTGTCCCTAGCTCCCTCCTCTTTGGCTCTCTGCCCTGACATGAGCCCTATCCTCCACTACACCCGTCTGCCATGATGTCTTTGCCTCACCAACAACAGCTACCAATGCTGGAGCTAGCTGACCAGGGACTGAAACCACGGGCCAAATAAACCTGTCTTTAAGTTATTTTTCTAATTCTGTCACAGTGACAGAAAGCTACCAACACTCTATGAGATACTGACATCTAATTAACAAAGTACTTTAAAAAAAGAAGTCAGGCCGGGCGTGGAGGGTCACGCCTGTAATTCCAGCACTCAGGAGGCTGAGGCAGGAGGATCGCTGTGAGTTCGAGACCAGCCTGAGCTACACCGTGAGTTCCAGGTCAGTCTCAACTACATAGTGAGACCCTGTCTCAAAACACCAAA